AGGGACAGAGGAGGACACTGAGGGACAGAGGAGGACACTGAGGGACAGAGGAGGACACAGAGGGACAGAGGAGGACACTGAGGGACAGAGGAGGACACTGAGGGACAGAGGAGGACACTGAGGGACAGAGGAGGACACAGAGGGACAGAGGAGGACACTGAGGGACAGAGGAGACAGAGGGACAGAGGAGGACACTGAGGACAGAGGGACACAGAGGGACAGAGAGGACACAGAGGGACAGAGGACACAGAGGACAGAGGACACAGAGGACACAGAGGGACAGAGGGACAGAGGGACAGAGGACAGAGGAGGACTGAGGGACAGAGGAGAGGGACAGAGGAGGACACTGAGGGACAGAGGAGGACACAGAGGGACAGAGGACAGAGGGACAGAGAGGACACAGAGGGACAGAGGAGGACACAGAGGGACAGAGGACACAGAGGGACAGAGGAGGACACCTTCACTGAAACACAATGTGATACAAACAGCATTTGCCTTCAGAATAAATGTACTTTTTATTTCTTATGATTTTGTGTATTTTTATTGCTCCATAACCTAAACCACAGTGTGATGTTTCCACTCGGGCAGCAGTGGCTCAGCTGGAACAGTGGTCAGGGCAGAGGTTCAATTCCAGGTTCCACAGATGAATGCTGATGTTTCTGAAACAAAGTTTTAGAAATGTTTATTGAAAATTGATTATGTGCAGATTGAAGTTACCTGTAAAAGGAAATAAGTAAAAAGTAAAAGTGCATTTAAATTGAAGTAATGGTGTTAAATTAATTTTATTTACCCTCTGGTGTGGTCTGCTTCAGGTGCTCCGGCCAAAAGAGTCCCCGGGGAGCCAGGGCACCTTAAGAAGGTTCCGGGGCAGCCAACCATGTGTTTGGAGGAGGGGAGCACGAATTTTTAACTTGTTCTATTTAGTATTTTAAAACATTAAACACTGCTAATTTAAATAAAGAGATATATATATTTTTGTACTTCATGTAACTGGATGTTGTTTGGGCACTGGTTTGATGTTTAGCTTTTAGATATTAAATTTACAAATTATTGGTGCTTACCTGATCGTTAAAGTGGACTCACCCAATTAGGACAGGGCCTTTAAAAGAAGCCAGCCTCACCTGGTTCAGGGGCAGGTGCTGTGTGAGCGCAGGGAACTGCTGTGTCTGGTTTAACCTTTTTTGGAACTTTTGTAAATAGTTTTTTTTGTCTTGTCGGGAATAAATGCACTGGGATCTGCAGTGTAAACTGGCTCAACTTGACTCTGTTCCTTCTAAAACCGCTGTCGCCACCAGGCTGTTACAGCACAATAATGTATGAATGTGCATAAATTTGAGTGACCAGATTTTCAAAATTCCAAACTGGGACACACTCGGTTTTGGAGGGTTGGTAGAAATAAAATAGTGAAAAGAGTGAAAAGATTGTACATTCTCGTATCAGTCATGATCTGAGGGATTCTGTCGCTGCTTTTTTGGTTTTATGGTCGTTCACAAACATGGTTTTCTGTATTTTGGCAAAACAAATGACAATTTATGCTCCTCTTTATTGTTACCGCCACAGGGATCAGATTAGTCCTGGTTTAGTCTTAGTTTAGTCCCGGTTTAGATCAGATTGGTCAAAAATAAAGACACCTGGGACATTTCTTATAACTGGGACAAATCAGTGGTTTTGTATAAATCTGCTGGGACAGGAGACACAGACTCAAAACCGGGACTGTCCCGGGGGAACAGGGACGTCTGGTCACCAAACTACATTTTTTAGTATAAATTTTTACATTCATTATTTAAATCTATAAAAGTGTATTTTATTTGCTCTAAAATTCAGTGACACTTATGAAACTGCAGGAATCACAAATAACAATCATCTTTAATAATGACTGTGGTTGTTTGTAGTTTTTTATATTTAACCTTGAGGAGTAAAAGTCCAAACCTGCGTGCGGCGTGCGGCGTGCGGCGTGCGGCGGGCGGCGGGCGGCGGGCGGCGGGCGGCGGCGGCGGGCGGCGTGCGGCGGGCGGCGCGGCGGGCGGCGGGCGGCGTGCGCTCTGAAACAAGACACACAAGAGGAAACTACAACTACAACTACACAACAAACACAAACTAAACAAGACACACAAAAGCAGTTGCACAGATTTACAAATGTTGTATTCCAGTCTAAAATCTTCTAGTTTGTGCTTAATGCTCAGAATCTATTATTTTATCATTATTTATGTTGTTTAATTACTTTAATTGAATCAATACAATCAAATGTTTTGTTTTCAGTTTCACTCACACATAAAATACACACTTGAGACGCAGAGAAACTCGTGTTAAAGCCGAGCAGTGACCTGGAGGTAGTAGATGAAGGTGAGTCTGTGGGCCCCCCCCCCGCAGAACCACACACTCCACCTGAGAACAGACGAAACACACGACACGGACGAGCCTCACCACAGGAGCGCCTAATCGTCCGTAAAATACGGTACATGTACCGGAGTAATCAGAGTACAAATTACAGTTTTAATGAGTGGTAATAATAAATGGATTACACACAGGGATTTTCCTGTTTTCACATTTCGGGTTATTTCCCTTTTTTTTTTCTTTTTTTTTTTAGTAATTCCACTCATTGCCAGACACTAAATCAGGTCTAAATCAGGTCTAAATCAGGTCTAAATCAGGTCTAAATCAGGTCTGAAGTCTTGTGGATTGTTAAAATGATAAAATGGCCAAAAATTAATCAAATGTACTAAAATAAAGATAAAACCCGTGCAGCTCGTGGGCGGAGAAACCAAATCTGAAAAAAACACACAAAAAAAGAACAGAAATAAATGTTTCAAATAAACCAAACAAGGACGACTTGAGGAGGCAGCCCCACCCCAACAAAACAGGAAGTGCTGCCATGGAATCACGTCTAAATAAATAACTTAAATCCCAAAGTGCAAACAAAAAGAACGACCCAGGAATTTAAACTAAACTAAAAGCTAAAAGCCCAGGGACGGCAACGCTAAAAACAAACATTTATTAAAAGGTGCAGTAGAGCCAAGAGACCAACATTTAACAATACTCAACAAAACAGTCAAATAAAAGTAAAACAAAACACAAAACAAACACAAAACAGTAATAATCTCAGCTCTGACACCAGCAGAAGTCGGGCTCCTTTTATAGAATAAATAACTGGACTTTTCTACTTGGCCCTTTTAGTGTTTAATACATTTACCTGTGGCCTTAGTCATTTTATGTGCTGTATTTATTTATTTATCTATTTTATTGCATTAAAGGGAACCTAAGGTCACAACTGTTTTACTTTTTTCTTCCCCAAAAGCCTAATCTCACACAGCGAGAGGGATTCTCATGATATTTGAGTTCACAAACTGACGAGGCTCCATCTTGGAGGATTTGTGCATTTGTGGACAGGGAAAATGTCTGTGCTTTTCTCATCTGGATGTAACAAGTTTGATTTTTCGCCTTGGAGGAAGAGCATATTGTAAAGTAACTGGCTTAAGTGACTTTCTTTGTAGAGCACAAAATAATTCATAATAGGCTGACGAAACTAAAATGACAAGCAAATAAAAACATGCAGAACAGAAGTGTTTGGTTTTATTTACTGGTACTTGTGCTTCACTTTGATTTGACACGTTTGATTGGAGTAAACAGAGCTTTGTTTTATATTTCTATTATTTTATATTTGTATAAAGTGGATTGGCTTGAGGGGTGAGGAAGAGGAAACTACAGTTAGATACGAGCTGTAGATCTGTGATTTTCCTTTCACTTCAGATTCAGACAGATTCACAACCAAAGGCTCTGCTCCTCAAGGTCATTATTTTAACACTTTCATAAGACTAAATACCAGTAAATACAGGTAATAAACCACTGGTTTAACTTACAATTTATATAGAAATCATTTACATCTAAATATTCTTAATTGGATAATTTGACTTTTTTTTAAACAGTTCATACACAAATGTAAATTGATCTTCATAATGCATAAAGCTTAAGTGACAAACTTAAAATAAACCAAGGCCAAAGTTCACATACAATCACTGACTTGTAGAAAAAAGTAATTTTTCCACCTGTAATATCACAACTTTTTTCCTGCTCTAACTGCTCTTGGTTTTGCAGTGTACAGCTGGAGAGAAAAGTGAAAACTTAAGCTCATATAAGTTGAAGTTTTATTAAAACACAGTTAACTTTTGGTAAAACATATGAATTTAAGTTTGTTGTTTGTTTTTTTACCCCAGTCTGCTCATTTTTTTAGGTTTAAATTTCCTGATTGGAGATTTATCCTGATTTATTCACTGCTCTTATTTACTCTAATATACAGAGATTATTGTGTAAATTGTGCCAAACCTTTGGAAAGAATTCTCCCCGTGTGGGAGAGGAAGGAGAGGAAATGAGGAGACAGACAAATGAGAGAATCTTAAAAAACATTCCAACCAACAAGTCATGGACTTAAGCCTGAGTACAGAAAAGTGTGTGTGTGTTGAGTGTGTGTATGATGAAACCTTGAAGCACTAAATGCAGATCAGTCATGTCCTCTTCACCTCCCCGTATGATGGTCACATGTGGTGTTAGGGGGTGTCTGTGTGTCTCGGTGTCTCGGTGTCTCGGTGTCTGTGTGTCTGTGTGTCTCGGTGTCTCGGTGTCTCGGTGTCTCGGTGTCTACACAAGTTTCCTCCACCGTAACCTGGTCGCGACTGGTGACAGAGTTGGAGAAGCGCACCTTTATATCCCGTTTGCCCCTCCCACATTACATAATATCCCCCCAATAATCGTGATTACACCGTTTCTACGATTAAACGGCCTACGTTCCGTCGCTTGATCGTTATATATGTATGTATATACGCGTAATATCTTGTGCCCAGAATGAAGAGGTTTTATATATAACGTCTGAGAGACCGACAGTACATTTAATTGGCCATGCAAATGAACTGTTGCTCACCTGATCCCCTGAACCCGCGCAACGACAGGATTTAAGCTCCCAGCGCGGGTGTGTCCGGGTTTGCCAGAACATCCCACGACCCCGCGACCCCACGACCCCGCGGTCCCACGACCCCACGACCCCACGACCCCGCGGCAGGAGGCGAAGGCGGCGGCGCGAGGGGAAGTAAATGTCTGGTTAAGCGTGATTTACATGAATTGAACAGCGCTTCTAAGTGCGCACCGTTAGTCACGGCACGACACGCAGGAGGTGTTGGGAAATTTTTATTTTTAAAACAGTGATTTGGTATGAAATGGTGCGGCGAGCGGTGCGCAAAGAATACGGAAACGGGCGCGCGCGTCTTCACGTGCTCTCCCCAGGGACGGTGTTGTTAGGGACGAGCCTGGTCCGTCACAGGGGGAGTGTGGTGTTAGGGGGTGTGGTGTTAGTGGGTGTGGTGGTTAGGGGGTGTGGTGTTAGTGGGACTGTGGTGTTAGGGGGTGGTGTTAGGGGGTGTGGTGTTAGGGGTGGTGTTAGGGGGTGTTAGGGGTGTGGTGTTAGGGTGTGGGTGTTAGGGGATTGTGGTGTTAGGGGGTGTGGTGTTAGTGGGTGTGTGGTGTTAGGGGTGTGGTGTTAGGGGTGTGGTGTTAGGGGGTGTGTTAGTGTTAGGGGTGTGGTGTTAGGGGTGTGTGTTGGTGTTGTTAGGGGGTTGTGTGTTAGGGGGATTGTGGTGTTAGGGGGTGTGTGGTGTTAGGGGTGTGGTGTTAGGGGGTGTGTGTGTTAGTGTGAGTGGGTTTGTGGTGGTGTTAGTGGGTGTGGTGTTAGGGGTGTGGTGTTAGTGGGTGTGGTGTTAGTGGGTGTGGTGTGGTGTTAGTGGGTGTGGTGTGGGGATTGTGGTGTTAGGGGGTGTGGGGGTGTTAGGGGGTGTAGGGGAGTGGTGTGGTGTTAGGGAGAGTGTGGTGTTAGGTGGTGTTAGGGGGTGTGGTGTTAGGGGTGTGGTGTTAGTGGGTGTGGTAGTGGGTGTGTGTAGTGGGTGGTGTTAGGGGGACTGTGGGTGTGGTGTTAGGGGTGTGGGGGTGTGGTGTTAGGGGGTGTGGTGTTAGGGGGATTGTGGTGTTAGGGGGTGTGGTGTTAGGGGAGAGTGTGTGGTGTTAGGGAGGAGTGTGGTGTTAGGGGGTGTGGTGTTAGGGGTGTGGTGTTAGTGGGAACTGTGGTGTTAGGGGTGTGGTGTTTAGGGGGTGGTGTTAGGGTTGGGGTGTGGTGTTAGGGTGTGGTGTTAGGGGATTGTGGTGTTAGGGGAGTGTGGTGTTAGGGGGAGTGTGGTGTTAGGGGTGTGTGTTAGTGGTGTTAGGGGGTGTGGTGTTAGGGGGTGTGGTGTTTAGGGGTTGTGGTGTGTGTGGTGTTAGGGGGTGTGGTGTTATGGGTGTGTGGTGTTTTAGGGGGTTGTGGTGTTAGGGGGTGTGGTGTTAGGGGGTGTGGTGTTAGGGGGGAGGGGGTGTGTTAGGGGGTGGTGTTAGGGGTGTGGTGTTAGTGGGGTTGTGGTGTTAGGGGGTGTGTGTGTTAGGGGTGTGGTGTTAGGGGGGTGTGGTGTTAGGGGGTGTGTGGGGTGTTAGGGGACTGTGGTGTTAGGGGTGTGGTGTTAGGGGTGGTGGTGGTTAGTGTGGTGTAGTGGGACTGTGGTGTAGGGGGTGTGGTGTTAGGGGATTGTGGTGTTAGGGGTGTGTGTTAGGGGGTGTGGTGTTAGTGGGACTGTGGTGTTAGGGGGTGTGGGTGTTAGGGGTGTGGTGTTAGTGTGTTAGGGGTGTGGTGTTAGGGGGTTGTGGTGTTAGGGGGATTGTGGTGTTAGGGGTGTGGTGTTAGGGGGTGTGGTGTGTTAGGGGGTGTGTGTGTTAGGGGGATTGTGGGTGTTAGGGGTGTGGTGTTAGGGGGTTGTGGTGTTAGTGGGACTGTGGTGTTAGGGGGTGTGGTGTTAGGTGTGGTAGGGGGTGTGGTGTTAGGGGTGTGGTGTTAGGGGGTGTGGTGTTAGGGGGATGTGTGTTAGGGGTGTGGTAGGGTTAGGGGGTGTGGTGTTAGGGGGTGTGTGGTGTTAGGGGGATTGTGGTGTTAGGGGATTGTGGTGTTAGGGGGTGTGTGGTGTTGTTAGGGGGTGGGTGTTACTGTGGTGTTAGGGGGTGTGGTGTTAGGGGGATTGTGTTAGGGTGTTGTTAGGGGGTGTGGTGTTAGTGGGACTGTGGTGTTAGGGGGTGTGGTGTTAGGGGGATTGTGGTGTTAGGGGGTGTGGTGTTAGGGGGTGGGTGTAGGGGGTGTGGTGTTAGGGGGTTGTGGTGTTAGGGGGAGGGGTTGTGGTGTTAGGGGGATGTGGTGTTAGTTGTTAGTGGGACTGTGGTGTTAGGGGGTGTGGTGTTAGGGGTGTGGTGTTAGGGGGATTGTGTAGGTGTTAGGGGGTGTGTGTTTAGGGGGTGTGGTGTTAGGGGTGTGGTGTGGGTGTTAGTGGGATGTGTGTTAGGGTGTGTGGTGTTAGGGGGTGTGGTGTTAGTGGGACTGTGGTGTTAGGGGTGTGGTGTTAGGGGTGTGGTGTTAGTGTGTAGTGGGGTGGGTTAGGGGGTGTGGTGTTAGGGGTGTGTTAGTGGTGTTTAGTGGGACTTGTGGTGTTAGGGGGTGTGTGTTAGGGGGTGTGTGGTGGGTGTTAGTGGGACTGTGGTGTTAGGGGGACTGTGGTGTTAGGGGACTGTGTGTTGTTAGGGGGTGTGGTGTTAGGGGGATTGTGGTGTTAGTGGGTGTGGTGTTAGGGGTGTGGTGTTAGGGGGTGTGGTGTTAGTGGGACTGTGGTGTTAGGGGTGTGGTGTTAGGGGGATTGTGGGTTTAGGGGGATGTGGTGTTAGGGGGTGTGTGGTGTTAGGGGTGTGGTGTTAGGGGGTGTGGTGTTAGGGGGATGTGTGGTGTTAGGGGGATTGTGGTGTTAGGGGGTGTGGTGTTAGTGGGTGGACTGTGGTGTTAGGGGGATTGTGGTGTTAGGGGGTGTGGTGTTAGTGGGACTGTGGTGTTAGGGGGTGTGGTGTAGGTGGGATTGTGGTGTTAGGGGGATTGTGGTGTTAGGGGGTGTGGTGTTAGGGGTGTGTGGGTGTGTGTTAGGGGTGTGGTGTTAGGGGATGTGGTGTTAGGGGTGGGTGTGGTGTTAGGGGGATTGTGGTGTTAGGGGGATTGTGGTGTTAGGGGTGGGTGTGGTGTGTAGGGGGATTGTGGTGTTAGTGGGTGTGGTGTTAGGGGGTGTGTGGTGTTAGGGGTTGTGGTGTTAGGGGGACTGTGGTGTAGGGGGTGTGGTGTTAGGGGGTGTGTGTGGTTAGGGGACTGTGGTGTTAGGGGGTGTGGTGTTTTAGGGGTGTGTGGTGTTAGGGGGACTGTGTGGTGTTAGGGGTGTGGTGTTAGGGGGATGTGTGTTAGGGGGTGTGGTGGTGTTAGGGGGTTGTGGTGTTAGGGGGTGTGGTTAGGGTGTGTGTTAGGGGGTGTGTGGTGTTAGGGGGTGTGGTGTTAGGGTGTGTGTGTGGGTGTGTGTTAGGGGGTGTAGGGGTGTGGTGTTAGGGTTAGGGGTGTGTTAGGGGGTGTGGTGTTAGGGGGTGTGTGGTGTTAGGGGGTGTGTGGTGTTAGGGGGACGGTGGTGTTAGTGGGACTGTGGTGTTAGGGGGTGTGTGTTAGGGGGTGTGTGTTAGGGGTGTGTGGTGTTAGGGGTGTAGTGTGTGTTAGGGGGTGTGTGGTGTTAGGGGGTGTGTGTTAGGTGGGTTAGGGGTTGTGTGTAGGGCACTGTCATGATCATGATCATCTTACTGTAGTGGAAAACATGAGATTAACACAATATCATTTGAGTTGAGTTGATTTAATCAAACCGGGACAATGCACAATAAACATTACCGTCAGGGGGGAATTGATGAAAATCATGCACTTCTGGAAAAGTTTTAGATTTTTGGCAGGTGTTAGGTTTGGGCCTAAGGTTTTCAAAAATCCATGGATACAAGTTGGGGTGCGCCCCCTAGTGGCCGGTTTGCATAAAATCCAAAACGGTCTGTGCCAAGACAAGAAAAAGTTATATGTCCGTTTTCTTTAGTCTTAAATTGTTGTATAGTGTTTAAATTTTTATTTACAGTGCAATTTAAATACATAAAATGTTGATCTATATCGAGAGCGAGAGAGACAAAATACATGAATATAATTTACACATTTCAAACACAGATTTACACAGGTCCTATTGAGATCATGAAGTGCATTTCTCATTTACATACAGTGATAGTTTAACCTCTGCTCCCAACTGTCCAACTCACTGACAGAGATTTACACAAGTGCTGTTTCAGCACAGGCCCAACGGAATTTTATTTATTTATTTTTTTTTTTTTTACTTCCAGAGACCAAGATGGAGAACTTCAATAAAAAAATGAAAGATGCACTTGAAAACCAGGACCAGGCCACTGCTGCGAAACTGGCAAAGGAGCATTTAGAAAAACTGGAGAAAGTTCCTCTCACCATCGCAGTGACAGGAGAGTCTGGCTCTGGAAAATCCACCTTCGTCAATGCTCTCAGAGGCCTGAAGAACTATGACGAGGGAGCTGCTCCAACTGGACCTGTGGAGACCACGATGGACCCAGTGGAGTACGACCATCCAAACCACCCCAGTGTGAAGATATGGGACCTGCCTGGGATCGGCTCTCCCTCCTTTAAGGCTGACCAGTACCTTGAGACTGTGGGCTTTGAGAAGTTTGACTTCTTCTTCATCATCTCTGACAATCGCTTCAGAGAAAACGATGCAAAACTGGCTGAAGAAATTCAGAAGATGAAGAAAAAGTTTTACTTTGTTCGGTCCAAAATCGACCACAACATCGAAGATGAAAAACGAAACAAGAAAAACTTTAATGAGGAAGAAACTCTTTCACAAATCAGGCAGAGCTGCATTAAAGGTAACTGTTTAAACATGTGAATATTCTTTATTTTGACTGTATTTTATAACATTTGCCTTGTTTCCATTGGGCTGAGATCTGCTCCGTGAGTGACGTCACCAAAACATGACTCATGTTTTATTAATACAATACAAATCTAAAGTGTATTTAATTATATTTATATGAATTATACTGGTGGTGTGAGACGTGGCTAAAGCTGAAGCTCGTGTAACCACAAAACTCCTTCCTGTTTATCAGCGAGCACATGGCTGCTGTGCAGCAATAATGTTTGTGAAGCATATCACTGGAAATACATGACATGCACATTATTTGAGAGGGAGGGAGGTGCAAGCTCCCTCCAGGGTCAGACCTTCAACCAGCGCTACAGTTAAAGCAAACCAATGGAAACACGGCTGGACTAACATCTTTTACTTATTGCAGGACTTGAACAGCTGGAGATTGAGTCTCCTAAGGTCTTCCTGATCTCCAGCTTCGACCTGAACCTGTACGACTTTGGTGATTTGTGGGAAACTCTGGAGTGTGAACTTCCTGAACACAAACAAGAGGTTCTAAAGCTGGCTTTGCCCAACATCAGTCTGGAGGTCATCAACAAGAAGAAAGAGGTTTTAAAGAACAAAATTACACTGTACGCTTTGCAGTCTGCTGCAGGGGCAGCTGTGCCAATTCCTGGAAGTTCTGTCATGGTTGATCTTACCATCATAGTGGCATTTGTGCAAGAGTGTCAGAACGCTCTGGGTCTCACAGAACACTGTTTGAAGAGCTTCTCTGAAGCTACAGGAGTCCCCATGACAGAGCTGAAGAAAGAGATCAAGTCTCCTCTGACTGGGGTCCAAGTGACCGCAGAGCTGGTCATGTTAGTCCTGAGGGGCTGTATAACTGTGGCAGGGCTTATGGCACTAGAGGAGGGAACCAAATATGTCCCGATTCTTGGAATACCTGTTGCGATGGGTCTTTCAGCTTTGTCCACGTCCCTCGCTCTGAAATATTTACTGGAAACCCTGGGTGAGGACGCACAAAGGGTTTTCACAAGAGGCATGGGGCTTAACTCTGATGTGTAATAGAAGAAATTAGTTTATGCAGTTATGACTTCATGTTCAAATCTGTATGTTTCACTTGGTAACAAAGGCTTTTGAGTTTATATCGATCTAAAGATTCTATTGCACTTACACATATGACATAAAATCATTTGGATGTGATCAGCTGAACCTGATGTTTTACTTGCAAAAAATAATAAAGAATCAGACTCTTTAAATATGTTGTTCAAAACAGAATTTAATAAAAACGTCAGAACATCTGATATGTTTTCAGTCCTTACAGTGTTAAGATCACAGTCTCACCTGAGAGCGACGGTCCTGGTCTGGTCTCTGCTCCTATAAAGGTACAATATAATTTATTGACTGTCAGGCGGAATGAAGAAGTTAAACAGGAGGATGAAGCAGAAACTGACCTGCAGCTCAACTCTCCACCAGCCTCCAACAGCAACGAACCCACACTGAATCACAGCGGCATAATGAGCTCACGCGATTGGTGCGCAGCGTCACGTGACCGTGTGACGTCACCGAGAGCACAACAACGATTGGTTTAGTGGACCCACGTAAAGAAAAAAATAAAAATAAATATATAATAATAATAATAATAATAAATAAATAAAAAATGTGCAGACCCACGTTTGGCTTCAGGAGTGTTTAAAAAACAAACTCGACTCTATGGAACTTTTCCCTTGCAATATTTTTAAGAAAATCGGAGGTCTACACTTTATATTGAAATGTAATTTTAATGTCACTAAATTGCCAATTAAATGATCTTATTTCTATCAGAAGCTCTAACCGCATGGAAGCTTTGTTATAAACATCATTTTCCCCTCGCACTAGTTTTATATGGAACAATGAATATGTTCTAAACCAGACGTGTTCACACTTTTTCATCATGTGAGCTTCTTACAAAATGATCGACCTGATACAAAGTCAAACAAACTGCACTGAAACACTCTGTGCCCCTTTTTTGGACCCTCCCCCACAGTTTGAGAACCTCTTCTTTAAGAGAACTTCCTCTGGCACTTTACACAAAACTGTGAAAAAAGTGAAGGAAGATTTTTAAACCTGTTTTTTAAAGTTTCATTCTTTTGTGGTTTTGCAGTGATATTTACCAGCCTCTGCACGTTTACCAAACCAAACGCACATCGTGACAAACACAGATGCATTTGTCACTTTTGTTAGACAAACTTCAGCCAAATGTGGCAGTAGGTCTGTTCTGTAGATCCGCTCTATGCTGTAGACCTGCTTTGTGCCAACACTGGAACACAAATTTAGACTGGTTTTTGCTCCACGTTTGGTCTTGTTCTTCTAATCAGCCGCACTGTGGGAGGGGCTTGTGTTGGCTGTACGCAGGAAGGAGCGAGAGCGTGAAAAGGCGAGGGGCGGCGTGCTGACGTGAGGCAGGTGGACAGGTAGGATGTTTAGGAAGTTGAACCTGCCCTGTGATGCACGCTGGTACACGAGGGCACACGCTGTCGCAGACGAGCCGTGCATAGGGAGCGTGTGTGTTTGTGATGCGCCGTAGAGTCTCCGCGGGTTTCAAATGAGCGCACAGGCTGCACTGAGACGCCCCACACGCTCCTGCACCCGCTACAAGTACTACTACTACTACTACTACTACACTTCTACCACCGAGTACTACAACAGGTACCACACGCTCCTGCACCCGCTACAAGTTTATTACCAACAGCAGCGGCCGGAATGAAATATGATCACACTTGTTGAGTGTCAAACCTCGAGTGAGAGACAAGACCGAGTCCAAACGCGATCAAGTCCGAGACGAGACACGGAGATTTACCCACACGACCTTGGAGATCGACTGGTAGATCACGATCGACGTATTGAGCACCACTGGTCTATTATGTAAAAAGCCAAATTTTTTTTCAAACCTGGGTGAACAAAAATATCATTTACGTATTGATTCCCAATCCCTTTTAGAGAATTCAAATCAGTCACTGAATGTTTGCCAAAGTCCGTAGTACGACTGATGAAGGGTCAGCAGAGGCTCCAGTTTTTAACCACTACAATTTATACATAAACAGAACAGAATTTCTTAATAAAAATTGCAATAACAAACACATTCAGATCAGTTTACTCAGCAACAATAAAACTCAACCCAGAGGAAAATTCTACCAGAACACACAATTTCAAGATATTCAGTGGCATAAAACCTGGACTTTTCTCTTTTCAGCACCGATCATCAATAAAAGATGAGAACATTTTTTTACCCACATTTCTCCAAATCGACCCAGTTTCCAACTTCTGCCTGTCACACCCTGGAAACCTTCTTCATTTCTTTTTCTCATGCCCCATTAGCTCCACCTACTGGAAACAAACAGAACATTTACACGTAACAAAAACCTTGAATGAAGAAAACATCATTACACATTATACACATCATTTTGCTGACAGTTTTATTCACAGGATTTCTGCAAAATGCCGCACACTTCAAATTCATACCAACTGATATTTTTGTGTCCAGTAGATTTTCCTGCTGGAGCAAATGAACGTGACGTGCGTTATGTAACATGATTTTTATTTATTTATTTTACACATTATTAAGCCATTATTTTAGTTATTTCATGTAGATTATTACTACTGTGGGTTTACTGTGAAATCGTTTCTCTGCACAGTGATTAGTTTGATATGTTTATATGTCAGTGGGAGGAGTCAGGGGGTAAAAGGCTGCTGTAAATACTTACTGAAAACTGTAAATATCTAAATAATAATAAATCCTGCACTCGGAAATTCGATCTTGCCTGAGTTTTAACTGAGCCCCGCCACAACCGTAAACCACATAAACTGTCTCTGAAAAACACAAATTGTAATCCCCATCCCCTGGTCACCTCCCAATCGCCTTTTCTTTCTCTTCTTTCTTTGCTGTGGAGTAAGAAGCTTTCAAAAATATTTGTGTGTATAGAATAGAAATCTGTGCGTATTTGGGAAAACGGTGCATATTTCTCTGTAGTTGAGCATAAAATAAATATCTGTAAACTCTCCAATGAGTCCAGTCGTACATAAAATATATTGTGTGTATTTTATCATCAGAATATGAACTGAAAAGTTACGACGTCAAGAATTACAATCACCAAATGAAAATTTACGATTAAACTTTCATCAGTACGAATACAAATTCACAAACGCAACTTTACTGTCATAAATACGTCATCACTTCACAGACATTATTTATGGAGCAGAAGAAACATCGATCAAGATCAAGACTGAGCATGTTTAAGTTTGTATCAGAGTAAAAACAGAGGAATGACACAACAAGGAGGTTCATTCAAATTTATTGTAAAAATGTCTTGTCTTGCCACATTGAATTCAGGGACCGAACGCTGCTGTGTGATATTGTGTAGAAACTCCTCCTCTGAACGGGAAACTGCACCGACATCTTAGTAGAAACACAGTGGAGCCAGTTGGTGAACATCAGATGTAACATTATCCCAGGGATAATGAGCAAATATCAGGTTCTCTGTGTGTTTAGATTAAAACATTCACGACTACAGCCACAGTGAGCATCAGTCTGAACCTTCATCTCTGCTGCATTTCTCACATGAAATGGGACCAAAGGTTCCTCAGGACGCTGAAATGTCCCAGTTTACACCAAACACCAAACTGTCCTGGTTACAGACACTGGGTTAAATATGAGTTATAATGAACTAGCAAATCCATCCACGACACGGGGCCGTTAAACTGACAGTTACACCCTTATAGTCAGAAAGTCCACTAGTCAGAAAGTCCACTAGTCAGAAAGTCCACTAGTCAGAAAGCCCTGTAGTCAGAAAATCATTCCCTCTTCTGTTGGTTTGTCAGTAACATTTCTCTCGAACAGTTGAATGTTTATTTGATGAAAGCAACAGGGAATAATCCCTGGATCAGGGAAGAATTAGTTAAACTTTTGGATGTTTACCAATTAAAAATGGCTGCAACATCAACATTTTTAGAGATATTGACGGGAAAACACATAATCATGTATAACAGCATTAGTTAAGGCCAGACTTACTTCATTTGTTGGTTTACAAACCCACCAATGCTTTATTAAAAGAAAAAGATTTAAAATAAAATTGAAATGAAGGTTGTAGAGCTCGAATTACTGAACATTTTCCAAGTTGTTGCCTGAAAATCAGACAATTATTCACCCTGTTCCACTTAAGACTTAAGCCATTTCCACCCAAATCATTATTTCCTCAAACATTTTTGTTGTATTTAAAGGGTTTAATATATTTATTACTTTTAATATTTACTTCTTAAAATATTTAAAACTTGAAAAACAATTTCATTTGTAACAATTTGTAACACGACCTGAACATGGATGTTCAGACTCGAGGCTCTTCTGATGATGAGACTGACTTCATACTGGTTGGTAAATACTGTAAACATACTGAGGTGTTGCCTGTAAACATGAACATTAACTGATGCTGAAGCTGCATTAAACTGTAACGTGTAACATTTCATTGGCTGTGACGTCTGTAACGCAACTGCAGACAAATATGCACAGATTTCTATTCTATGTGCACGAATATTTTTGAAAACTTTCTTACTCGATACTTTGCCTTTTTTGCTTTTGCACATTCCAAGTTTATCTCTGTTGCTTCGTTTTGTCTCAGTGTTCATCCCCAACGCCCTTTTTGTGTCACTGCACCGTTTTGCTTTTGTTCAATACTAAATAAATAAATAATCAGTGTTGAGAAGTTTACTTTTCAAACATAATCCCCTACAGATTACAGATTACACACACCAAAATGTAGTTTGTAACATAATCCATTAAATTACATAAAGTGAGTAATGTAATCTGATTACTTTGGATTACTTGATTTGTTGTAGAGAAACAAAGACGAGGAAATCTTCACATAAGAAGTTTTGTTTGATAAAAGAAAATAAAAAGTCCAGACTTTACTGAACCAAATTAAAAATATTATTGATAGAAAATGAGGAAACACGTCCACACAGCAGGATTTAGTCCTGGTTTAGACCTGGTTTAGTCTGGGTTTAGTCCGGGTTTAGTCCTGTTTTAGTCCTGTTTTTTTTAGGGATATTAATTTGATTGACATGATTTGATTCATTATTTTGCTTTAGTATTTAATCACTGTTGCTGTTATTTATTTATGTATTTACGTATGTATTTATGTATGTATTTATATATTTATATATTTAGTTAGTTATTAGTTATTAGTAAGTCTGGTGTCAGTTCACCCTCCTGACCAGTTGGTGGCGCTGCTGCACCTTTAGTTGTTTGTGGTGAACAACATGGCGCTGGTCACAACAGAAGAGCGTGACTTTAAACATCGTCTGGATTCTGCACTTTTATGATTTTAAACCGGATTAAACTTCACGTTTTGTCGTATTTTGAAGACTTTAAACTAACGCGGATCGTCTGTTGGATTTAATTTATTAGAGTTTAGACTCTGTCCTCTGATGTTTACACTGAAACTGTTTTGTGTTTAAGCAGAAAAAAAAAAAGACAGAAAAATGTGTTTTTCATCTAGAAATGATATAAATGATGTAACATTGACACTGGAGCGTCACTTTATTAAAATCCAGAAGTGTAAAGTGTCATTTGAAGAATAAACCAGCGCAGTTTCCCGGAGATTGCGTCAGTTTCAGCGTCAGTTTTTTTTATTTTTTATTATTATTATTATTATTTTTCTCGGATTAAAGTGACAAACCTGTGTTTTTGGCCTGTGCAGAGCGGCTCGTGTTTGTGTCGTTTGTTGTTTCTCCTGTGTTTTTGTGGTGATTTTGAGGAGAATGTGCAGAGTTTTTTGCAGAGTTTTTTGCAGAGTTTTGTCTCGGATGGAGCCGGACGCGCGCAGGAAAATGGTCAGAAATCAATTTATCTAATGATTTTATTACCAAACTTTTAAATATGATTTAATAACATATTTTGGAACATTTTTAGTTCACAAGAATCGTGAATTTCGTACCGAGTTTCCTGTTTGGACTCGTTTTGATGTAAATGTTTATTAAGTTTATTAAGATCAGATTCTTCAAAATAAACCAGGACTAAACCAGGTCTAAACCAGGTCTAAACCAGGTCTAAACCAGGACTAAAACCAGGTCTAAACCAGGTCTAAACCAGGACTAAAACCAGGTCTAAACCAGGACTAAAACCAGGTCTAAACCAGGACTAAAACCAGGTCTAAACCAGGACTAAAACCAGGACTAAAACCAGGTCTAAACCAGGACTAAAACCAGGACTAAAACCAGGACTAAAACCAGGTCTAAACCAAGGTCTAAAACCAGGTCTAAACCAGGACTAAACCAGGACCAGGAAACCAGGTCTAAAACCAGGTAAAACCAGGACTAAAACCAGGTCTAAACCAGGACTAAACCAGGTATAAACCAGGTCTAAACCAGGTCTAAACCAGGACTAAACCAGGACTAAAAACCAGGTAAACCAGGTCTAAACCAGGACTAAAACCAGGTAAAAAAACCAGGTCTAAAACCAGGTCTAAACCAGGTCTAAAACCAGGACTAAACCAGGTCTAAACCAGAACTAAAACCAGGACTGAACCAGGTCTAAAACCAGGTCTAAACCAGGTCTTAATCAGGTCTAAAACCAGGACTAAACCAGGTTGAAAACCAGGACTAAACCAGGTCTAAACCAGGACTAAAACCAGGACTAAACCAGGTCTAAACCAGGTCTAAACCAGGACTAAAACCAGGTCTAAACCAGGTCTAAACCAGGACTAAAACCAGGACTGAACCAGGTCTAAACCAGGACTAAAACCAGGACTAAAACCAGGACTAAAACCAGGTCTAAACCAGGTCTAAACCAGGACTAAAACCAGGTCTAAACCAGGTCTAAACCAGGACTAAAACCAGGTCTAAACCAGGTCTAAAACCAGGACTAAAACCAGGACTGAACCAGGTCTAAACCAGGTCTAAAACCAGGTCTAAACCAGGTCTAAACCAGGTCTAAACCAGGACTAAAACCAGGTATAAACCAGGTCTAAACCAGGTCTAAACCAGGACTAAAACCAGGACTAAAACCAGGTCTAAACCAGGTCTAAAACCAGGACTAAACCAGGACTAAAACCAGGACTGAACCAGGTCTAAAACCAGGACTAAACCAGGTCTAAACCAGGACTAAACCAGGTCTAAAACCAGGTCTAAACCAGGACTAAAACCAGGACTGAACCAGGTCTAAACCAGGTCTAAAACCAGGTCTAAACCAGGTCTAAACCAGGACTAAAACCAGGTATAAACCAGGTCTAAACCAGGTCTAAACCAGGACTAAACCAGGTCTAAACCAGGTCTAAACCAGGTCTAAACCAGGTCTAAAACCAGGACTAAACCAGGTCTAAAACCAGGACTAAAACCAGGACTGAACCAGGTCTAAAACCAGGTCTAAACCAGGTCTAAACCAGGTCTAAAACCAGGACTAAACCAGGTCTAAAACCAGGACTAAACCAGGACTAAAACCAGGACTGAACCAGGTCTAAAACCAGGTCTAAACCAGGAGTAAAACCAGGACTGAACCAGGTCTAAACCAGGTCTAAAACCAGGACTAAACCAGGTCTAAAACCAGGACTAAACCAGGTCTAAACCAGGTCTAAACCAGGACTAAAACCAGGTCTAAACCAAGATTAAAGATTAAATCAGGTCTAAACCAGGACCAATCAAAGCCTTAGTCTGGGTCAGGGTCCAGGTCCTGGTCTGGGTCTGGATCCAGGTCCTGGTCCTGGTCCTGGTCCTGGATCCAGGTCCTGGTCCTGGTCCTGGTCCGGGTCTGGATCCGTCCCTCTGTGCCGCGTGCAGGTGGTGGGCCTGGGGAACCCCGGGATGGACGGGACCCGGCACAACGTGGGCCGGGCCGTGCTGGACCGTCTGGCGCCGCGTCTGGAGGCGTCCAGGACCTGGAGACGAGACGCCAACGTCAACTCAGACGTCCTCGTGTGCCACCTGCAGGGGGCGACAGTGATCCTCCTCAAACCCAGAGTCTACATGAACCTGAACGGAACCGCCGTCGCCAAAGCAGGTGAGACCACGAAGACGACGAAGACGACGAGAGAGAGAGAAGAGGAGGAGAGAGGAGGAGAGAAGAGAGAGGAGAGAGAGAGAGAGAGAGAGAGAGAGAGAGAGAGAGAGAGAGGAGAGAGAGGAGAGGAGAGGAGAGAGGAGAGAGAGAGAGAGAGAGAGAGAGAGAGAGAGAGGAGAGAGAGAGAAGAGGAGAGAGAGAGAGAGAGAGAGAGAGAGAGAGAGGAGAGAGAGAGAGAGAGAGAGAGAGAGAGAGAGAGAGAGAGAGGAGAGAGAGAGAGAGAGAGAGAGAGAGAGAGAGAGAGCAGAGCAGGTTCTCTGCTCTGAAAACTTTGATCATATTGTGAATTCAGATTTTGTGTTAAAAGTATCAACTAGTATCGATACTAGATACTCGTTTGAACAGGTATCGATACTAAAAACTCTCACATGATTCCTGAACATTTTGACGTTTGATTAAAACCTGTGATGTAAATAATGGTGTTTTCACTAGTTTGATTATTTGGTCCAGACCAGGTAATAAAATGTTATTATTCTGTATAGACTCCAGTTTGGTGCAGGTCCTGACCAGAGGTACACAGCCCACGTTTAGACTCTGGAGCTTCACGTTTAGACTCTGGAGACTCTGGAGCTTCACGTTTAGACTCTGGAGCTTCACGTTTAGACTCTGGAGCTTCACGTTTAGACTCTGGAGCTTCACGTTTAGACTCTGGAGCTTCACGTTCACACGTTGGTTCTTGCTCTGATCATCATGTGTCACGTTCTCTGTATTTGCCATTGTTGGCAAAATAATTCTAATTCTGCGTCTGGAGAACAATCTGTTTCCGCTCCGTCGGGTCGTTTCATTCAGAGGAGACGTGTTTCCTCCCATGATGCATCTGGAATAGTTTTTTTGGACCTTCTGTCTGTGGTTTGGACTCGAGTTCATGTTCACACCAGAGGAACTGCCCCAGAGTTTGGTTTTTGGTGCAGATTCAAGTGAACTGAGACCACCTCTTTTTTTAGCTCTCGGTCCGATTGATTTAGTGCAGCTCCGAGTCCGATTGACGCTTTCACAACAACGAAAAACAAACTTTTGGTTTGAATTTAACGTTTGGTGCAACAACTTCTGTCGGTGTGAAAGAACCTGACTGAGATCTTTGGGATTTTATGAACCAACACAAATTGTGACATTTGTTAACAGTTCGATCTTTGGTTTTTAATTTAAGCTTTTATTTCACAAACTCATGATGAGCAACAGGTCATGTGGAATCAGTCACCTGTCCTGTCTCACCTGTCCTTACACCTGTCCTGTCTCACCTCCTGTCCTGACCTGTCCTGACACCTGTCCTGACACCTGTCCTTACACCTGTCCTGTCACCTGTCCTGACACCTGTCCTGACACCTGTCCTTACACCTGTCCTGTCTCACCTGTCCTGACACCTGTCCTGTCCTGTCCTGTCTCACCTGTCCTGTCCTGTCCTGACACCTGTCCTGACACCTGTCCTGTCTCACCTGTCCTGTCTCACCTGTCCTGACACCTGTCCTGACACCTGTCCTGTACACCTGTCCTGACACCTGTCCTGACACCTGTCCTGACACCTGTCCTGACACCTGTCCTGACACCTGTCCTGTCCTGACACCTGTCTCACCTGTCTGTCACCTGACCTGACCTGTCCTGACACCTGTCCTGTCCTGTCTACACCCTGTCCTGACACCTGTCCTGACACACCTGTCCTGTCACCTGTCCTGACACCTGTCCTGACACCCTGTCCTGACCTGACACCTGTCCTGTACAACCTGTCCTTACACCTGTCCTGACACCTGTCCTGACACCTGTCCTGACACCTGTCCTGACACCTGTCCTGGCAGTGAGGCGTGAGTTGGTGTGCTCTTGGTTCATGATGATCTGGACAAACCTCTGGGAAAGATCGCCCTGAAACAAGGAGGAAGTGCCAGGTAAAAACCCAGCACCTGTCGACCAAATAAGGACTGTGACAGGTCAAACCCAGCACCTGTCGACAATCTAAATGATTCGTGAAATAAACTTATTATTTTTACTTTCATTTGAATCTTCAGCCTTGTTTTTTAAAGCTGCACTATGTCGCTTTTCTGCGGAGGCTCCAGGATTTGTTTGTCTCCATGGAGATGTTGTTGCTTTGCCTTATCATCTCCATGGGGACGAGCAGACCCGGGTCAGATCTGTGGAGAGGCGACGGTCGGTGTAGTTCATGTTCATGTCCAGACTGTGGAAGAATCCAGGGAGCCTCCGCCTGAAAAGTTCCGTAGTGCAGCTTTAGTCCTGGTCTGGTAAATTTCACCTGTGAGACTCGGACTTTTTTAAACCGTGTGGATGTTTTAGTGTTTCTGCTGAATAACGAGCGTTCTCCTTCACAGGGGTCACAACGGCGTTCGCTCGTGCATCGACTGCCTCCACACCGACGTAAGACTCCGCCCACTTCTACTTTTAAATCATTTTCATAAACCTGAAAAGTGTTTGTGTGTTTCTGTGGTTCACGTAAAGAACAGGGAGAGTCCGACGTGAACTCGGTATGTCCCTGATTATTCTGCAGATGATTGACAGCTGTGAGGTCGAGTTATGTCATCACAGAAAACACGGAGCAAAGGTCTAAACCGCACCACCGTATCTGCAGTGCGTCAGATGCCCTCCCGCCCTCCTGTGTCACCCTCTGTGTCACCCTCTGTATCGCCCTCTGTGTCGCCCTCTGTGTCGCCCTCTGTGTCACCCTCTGTGTCACCCTCTGTGTCACCCTCTCCTGTGTCACCCTCTGTCCCCTCTGTGTCACCCTCTGTGTCACCCTCCTGTGTCACCCTCTGTGTCACCCTCCTGTGTCACCCTCCTGTGTCACCCTCTGTGTCACCCTCTGTGTCACCCTCTGTGTCACCCTCTGTGTCGCACCTCCTGTGTCACCCTCTGTGTCACCCTCCTGTGTCACCCTCCTCTGTGTCACCCTCTGTGTCTGTGTCACCCTCTCTGTGTGTCACCCTCTGTGTCACCCTCACCCTGTGTCACCCTCTGTGTCACCCTCTGTGTCACCCTCTGTGTCACCCTCTGTGTCACCCTCTGTGTCACCCTCTGTGTCACCCTCTGTGTCACCCTCCTGTGTCACCCTCTGTGTCACCCTCTGTGTCACCCTCTGTGTCACCCTCTGTGTCACCCTCTGTGTCACCCTCTGTGTCACCCTCTGTGTCACCACGGAGGTTTCAATATTTAACAGAAATAATATTTGAACAAAATGAAACGTGAAAAGAATCAGAAACGACCTGACTCTGACCGTAACACGACCTGACTCTGACCGTAACACGACCTGACTCTGACCGTAACACGACTTGACGCTGACCGTAACACGACTTGACTCGTCCGACAGGAGACTGTGTAACTATGTGGCAGGTGCAGAGTGTCGCCTGTCGGCCTGTGGCAGGTGCAGAGTGTCGCCTGTCGGCCTGTGGCAGGTGCAGAGTGTCGCCTGTCGGCCTGTGGCAGGTGCAGGGTCTCACCTGTCGTGTGTTGCAGGTGATGCGGCGGGTGCGTGTGGGCGTCGGTCGTCCCTCTGGACACACGTCTGTGGACAAACACGTCCTGGGACACTTCAGTCCAGACCAGAGGAAAGTCCTGGACCTGGTCCTGGTCCAGAGCGTGGACCTGCTGCTCAGTCTCCTCACCCCACACGACCCACCACCAGGGGGCAACAAACACGACCACCACCAGGGGGCAACAAACACGACCCACCACCAGGGGGCAACAAACAGGACCCACCACCAGGGGGCAACAAACACAACCAACCACCAGGGGGCACCAAACACGACCCACCACCAGGGGGCAACAAACAGGACCCACCACCAGGGGGCAACAAACAGGACCCACCACCAGGGGGCAACAAACACAACCACACCACCAGGGGGCACCAAACACGACCCACCACCAGGGGCGCCAAACAGGACCCACCACCAGGGGGCAACAAACACGACCAACCACCAGGGGGCAACAAACACGACCAACCACCAGGGGGCACCAAACACGACCCACCACCAGGGGGCAACAAACACGACCCACCACCAGGGGGCACCAAACACGACCCACCACCAGGGGGCGCCACGGACTCACAGCAACAGGCCAAACAGAAGGAGAAACAAACTAAAGGACGGGAGGACGGCGCAGGGACGGCCGCTGCACAGACGTGACTTTACACCGTCTAAACTCTGGTCGTGTGTTTTTCTTTGATTTGACTTGGACGACGTGTTTGAGCTGCGGTTGTGACGCCCCCTGGAGGAACAAACCACCTACAGCCACGAAGCTCCAGACGATCTGAACATGACCGAAATAAAAACAGAAAATACAGAAAAGTGAAAAACAGACAAATGTTTGGAGTGAAAAATGTGAAATAAACAAAGAGGTGAAGATTCAAAATGAGTTTGATGAATTTATTTTCTTATTTATTTGTAAAGTTGCAGCACATTTTAATGAACTTTTCAAATATAAAAGTGTAAAAGTTTCAGCAGCACAAACCAGAACAACTCCACAAACTCAACACAACACACACACACACAACAAACACAACACACACAACACACACAACAAAACACACAACAACACACACACAACACACACACACAACAAACACAAACAAACACACAACACACACAACACACAACAAACACACAACACAACACACACACAACAAACACACAACACAACACACAACACAACACACACACAAACACACACACAACAAACACACACAAACACACACACACACAACAACACACAACACACACACAAACACACACAAACACACACACAACACACACACAACACACAACACACACAAACACACACACAAACACAACACACAAACACAACAAACACACACACACAACAACACAACACACACAAACAAACACAACAAACACACAAACACACACAAAACACAACAAACACACAAACAAACACACAAACACACACACACAACAACACAACACAACACACAACACAACAAACACACAACACAACAAACACACACACAACACACACACAAACACACAACACAACAAACACACAACACAACAAACACAACAACAACACACACACAACACACACACACACAAACACACACACACACACACACACACACACAACACAACAAACACAACAAACACAAACACACACACAAACACACACACAACAAACACACACAACACACACACAACACACACACACACAACAAACACACACACACAACAAACACACAACAACACACACACACACACACACAAACACAACAAACACACAACACAACACAACAAACACACACACACAACACAACAAACACACACACACAACACACAACAAACAAACACAACAAACACACACAAACACACACAACAACACACACAACACAACAAACACACAAACACAACACACACACACACAACAACACACACACAACACAACACACACACAACACACAACACACACACACACACACAACAAACACACACAACACACACAACACACACAACACAACAACACACACACAACAACACACAACACAACACACACAACACAACACACACACACACACAACACACAACAAACACACACACACACACACACACACACAACAAACACACACACACAACACACACACACACAACACACACACAACACACACACACAACAAACACACACACACAACACAACACAACAAACACACACAAACACACACAACACACACACACACACACAACAAACACACACACAACACACACAACACACAACACACAACACACACACACAACACACACACACACACACACACACAACACACACACACACACACAACACACAACACACACACAACAAACACACAACACACTGTACACACAACACACACACACTGTACACACAACACATTCACTACACACACTACACACACTATACACACACAACACACTCACTACACACAGAACACACACTATACACACACACTACACACACAACAAACGTGTGTGATTTTTTTTTGATGCTTTTATTTTGAAAAATGAAATGGAAAAAAGTGTCAAAGTTTTTGAGCAGCTTCAGTCAAAAACATTTAACAGCAACAAACATCTGACCAATAAATAAACACGTCCTGTATGGTACCTGTCGCTCCTGTCGCTCCTGTCGCACCTGTTGCACCTGTCTGAGCAAAGTGTTCATCTGTAAACACAGTCCAGGTACAGAACAAAACAGAACAGCCCCCCCTGCTGGACACAAGAGGAAACGTTTAAGAGGAAAAAGTCAAAAAAGTCCCTCGAGGAAAAAGTGTAAAACATAAAACATTAGATTTTTCAAGTTTAAATTCACTTTAAACACAGAGACGAAAAACATCTGGGTCTTCATCACCGGGACGAAATCTGACAAATACACAAAAAAAATAAAATAAAAATAAAAACACAAACGGTTTAGAATTTAATTTAAACGTCCCATAATCCTTTGCTCCAATGTCATGTCCTGGTCACACACACAGACACACACACTGGAGACTTTGAGTTTGTTTCATTCACACGTTTCACACTCTGTTCCAACTGGTGATGTCATCATGTGGTGATACAGGAAGTGCTCCACTGTGTTTTTAAACTCCACACACCTTCACTCTAGAATCATCTGGATCGTTTCAGTCGTGGAGTTTCTTTTGTTTTGTTCTGTAGGTCGTGTAGAATTTGAATTTAAATTTGTTGATTTATTGTGTTTATTTTATTTCATTTTTATTCTTTTCTTTTATTGTATTTGATGCTCCACAGTCATTTAAAAATTATTCGGCACCAAGAATAAACTCGTCCTTGTCACTGTATTTTTTTTCTTTTTTTTTTTTTTTGTTGCAGAATATTTGTTCTAAACTGAAAATGTCAAGAAATAAAGTTATTACAAAAAACAAAAGAAAAGAAAACTACCACTCGATGACATCACGAGGTGGAGCGCAGCATTTGGAGCTTTGGAGACGTAGAAGGACAAAAGTGAATGAAACAAACACAAGTCCAGCAGAACATAAGAACATCAGAACTTTAGAAGATGACTTGTAGTTCCCAGAGGACTTGACTGGACTGGTCTGGACCGGACTGGAGTTGACCCGGTGTTGATTTGTTCGTTTTAACTCTGGGTAAATGTTTGTTTATTTCAGTCTGAAATCTTTAAAAAGCACCAAAAAAACAAAAGACAAACACTGTTGGTGAAACGAGACGAGTTTTCAGTGGAACTCGGTGTTTCCAGATCTTTCCATCAGAACGTTCAACTCAAACACAAACTCCACGACTCGTTTAAAATCGAGGTTTTCACGTCGTCTCCTTTTCCTTTTACGGTTTGGAAAAAGTTCTCTTCACCCAAAAGAGCACTAAGTCGCTCCCCCTTCAGAGCGTCGCACTCGTGAAACTCCTGCACAAACATCAGCTTCGTCGTGTCGCTGTCGTGTTCAGTTTGTGTCGTGGTTTTGAGTTTTTATTGAGAAATGTCGTGTGGGAGCCAGAGGGGGCGGAGCCTCGTACTGACTCGTACCGAGAGGAGAGAGAAGAGAGAGAAAGGGAGAAAGAGATGAGTGAGAGAAGAGGGAGACAGAAAAGAAGAGAGAGGGAGAAAGAAAGAGAAAAAGGAGAAAGGGAGAAAAGAGAATGAAAGAGACAAAAGAGAGAAAAGAAAGAGAGAAATGAGAGAGAAAGAGAAAAGAGAGAGAGGGAGGAAGAGAGATGAGAGAAGAGAAAAAGAGAAACAAGAGAGAAAAAAGGAAAGAGGGCGAAAGAAAGAGAAAAGGGAGAGAGAAAGGGAGAAAGAGAAATGAGAGAGAAGAGAATGAAAGAGACAAGAGAGAGAAGAGAAAGACACAAGAGAAAGAATGAGAAGAGAAAGAGGAGAGAAACGAGAGAGAGAAAGCAAGAGAAAAGAAGGAGAGATAAGAGAGAAGAGAAAAGAGAAAGAAAGAGAAAAGAGAGACAGGGAAAAAGAAATAGGAGAGAGAGACAAGAGAAAAAGAGACGTGAGAGACAAGAGAGAAGAGAAAGAGGAGAGAAACAAGAGAGAGAGAGAAAGCAAGAGAAAAGAGAAAAGAAGAGAGGGAGAAAGAGAGATGAGAGAGAAGAGAAAGAAAGAGACAAGAGAGAGAAGAGAGAAGAGAAAGACAGACTCATACTGAACATAAGGAGGGTTTGAATAGGACCCGGGAGAGATCTCTAGATGACTCAGACATGCCCAGATGACTCTAGAACGTTCTTCGGGCAGGTTTGTGACGAGGAACAGCGTCAGAGACTCGAGATGTTCCTCCAGGAACCTGCTCCACCCTCCTCGCCGCCTCCAACACTTCAGCTTTATTTTGGCAGCGTCACAGCCACGGGTTTAACTGTGAGGGCTTTTATTGTGACGGGGCAACAGAGAGAAGGGAAGACAGACTTGGGCAAACGTCACAAAAAATATTTTTAAAAATATATAAATGCTGATAATAAATTCTAAATAAGCAGCAAAAAAAAAGAAAAAAAAGAAAAAGAAACACTTGTGAAATAAAACTGAATTATATAAATGTAAACATACAAGTCAAAATAAAATGGAAAAATAAGTAATAAAATATAAAAATCTCTTCTACTCTTATTTATATCTGAGATTTTATATTTTATTACTTATTTTTC